TCTTCTTTGAATGTTGGTAGAATTTTCCAGTGAAAATTTTTCTGGATATTTCTTCCCCAGGAATTTAAAAAGAATTAATTCAATTGTGTAACTTACTGATTTTGGACTCTTCTCTTTTTAACATAAGCACTTAGTATAAATTTTCTACTCAATTATTTTGGCTGTATCCTACATACTTTTATCTATTATATTTTCATTATGCCCTATATATTTTATATTTTCCCAAGACCTCCTCTTTGATCTACAGATTATTTAAAAGCAATTGTTTAACAATTATTATTTAAAAGTGTTAATTCCTGAACATTTAGATATTTTAGTTTTCTGCTCTGCTTCTAGAATTTGTACACAATGTCTTTTGCCAATTTTGAGGTTTTAGTTATTTCTTTCTCCAAATACTTTCTCAGTTCCACTATTTCTTCTCTTTCTAGGACCAGATGGTACGAATGTTGATAGTTTTGTTACTGTTTCATGAGTCCCTGTGACTTACTCTCTTCTCAGTTTTTTTCTCTTTGATGTTGATACTGAATAATGTCCTCAGCTCATTGACTCTATCTTCTGTCATCTCCTCTTTGCCATTTACTCCCACACAAGCAAGTTTTTTTTATTATTGTATTTTTCAGTTTTTATAATTTTATTTGATTCTTATTTTCTATTCCTTTGTTGTGGTTTTCTACTATTTTATTTGTTTCAGAAAAGCTTGTGATTGATTGGCAAAGTATTATAACCCGTAATTTATTGGTGAAAATGCAACTCATAGCTAGGTGTGACCCGTGAAAAAAATAAAAGGAAGCAGTTGGCCAAAACATATGGGTTTATTTCTGGCTTTTCAGTTCCATTTCGCTGATCATGATGTCTTTCCTTATTCCAATGCCACACTGTTTTGGCCATTATAACTTTGCAAGTTTTGCCAGTAAGTCAGTCTTTTTAAGTTTTAGTAAATAGTGTGAATATTCTAACTTTTTCAGGACTTTTTGGGGGGTTATCTTGGTTCCTTGCAGTTATATATGAAATTCAGAAGCAGCTAGTCCATGTCTGGAAAAAGGCAGCTGGGATTTTGGCAGAGAGTATGTTGCATTTATAGATTAGTTTGGGATGAAGTCAATTAGTGTGGGATTAAGAAAAGAAGATCTCTTTCACTTATTTAAGACTTTCTTAATTTCAGTTATGTTTTGTAGTTTTCAATGTGCAAACCTTGCACTTTTGGGGGGTGCTGCGGGGAATCAAACTCAGGACCTCGTGTTTGCCAGGCAGGTGCTGTGCTGCTGAGCTACATCCCTGGCCCTGCACTTTTTTGATTACATTTACTCTTAGGTCTTTTATTGTTTTAGATACTATTGTAAATGGAACTGCTTCCTTAATTTTCAGGTAATTAAGTGATTTGTTTTTTGTATTGCCTTTAAGTTCTGGCTTGTTTTGTTACACAAAATATCATTTTCAGGACACAGAAAATGACCAAGGATGGGGCAAGGGCAGCTGACCTGGCTTATTCCATTACTGCCATGTCCCTTCTAAGGCTGACAATCAAGAAATGGGGGGAACTGCCTGCAAAAAGGGGGCCAGACACCTACACCATCTGCTCAACTCAGCAAACACAAAATTAGTTGGAGGCAGTTTATTGGGAAGAGTTCACCTTGCAATCCATGGGCTATAGGAGTCAAGTGATTTGCTGCCCTTGAAACCTAATACATGTTCACCTCCACACAGCTAGATCACTGCAGAGTGAGATCTTTGGAAAAAGAATTCCACCCTTAGTGGAAGGACTAGAAAACCAACCCCAAAGCCACACAGATGGGACAGGTATATATGTGACTGTCTGGGTAGGCACATGGGCCAATAAGGAAAGGAAATAGGGGCTGGGGATTTAGCTCAGCGGTTTGGTGGCCTGCCTTGCAAGCGCAAAGACCTGAGTTCAATCCCTGGTACCAAAAAAAGAAAAAAAAAAAGGAAAGGAAATAAAAATCAAATGTATCCTTTTGCAAAGATTTAATGCCCAAACTATTACTGGCTTTGCAATTGTTTTTTCTTTCTTTTTGTTATTATTGGTATATTTTAGATATACATGTATCTTGCTTCTTTTCCCATTGCCCTCCCCTCCCCTCAACTCCTCTTCCCCTCACTTACACAAGCATTGTTTCCATTTCTTCTAGTCTCTTTTATCTTGTTCCATCTTTCCTTTCCCATTTTTGTTTTGTTTGTACAGAGCTTAGACTATACAGGCTCCTTGAGAATTGAAGATTGTAGGAGTCACAGTTTCGTGTCTATCTGTGAAAGGATTGCTGGGTCAGAAAATGAACTTACAAGTCACTGAGTCACACAAGTCACCGAAAAATCTGTAGCCGTGGATAGCACATCACTTGGCATCTGCTTTAACTGAATCTGCACAATGCGGTCATCCACCAGGGAGGCAGAGGCGCCATCACTTCATTACACACTATCAGCTCTCCAACAATGTGATGCATCCATTCACCTGACTACCACTGCCCAAAACTTGGCTTCACATCAGATCCAGTCACAGCAGCAGCATTGAACGAGGAAGCCAAAGCACTCTGACAGCCCAGCTTATAATAACCTAAGTGGGGGTCAAAGGAGGGGCCCAGGATACAGTCGGGACTCACTTACTGTACTTACAAGTCTGGACAGTTTAACAAAAAACACTACTCCTTACAAGTTATCAGATTCCTTTCTCCATGTCCGCAAGTTCAAGGTGCACCTTAGAAGTCCTCCATTCTTTCAACTATTAAAGAGGAGAACTGAGTTGTACTACAGAAAATATTCTGCTGGCAGGAACTGATCCACTCCCTATGCACCACTCCAGGAATCTCCAGGGCCACTACTCTTGATAGCACCATTATAGCTGACAGAACTTTGGGGATGGCTACGTTTCCGAAATTGGCAGTTTTCATGACTAGTCCATAGCTCAGCAGTGTAGAGCTCTGTACCAGGATGTGTGAGCACAAAGACATCCAGCACATTCTGTGGACACCATGATGAGACTCTAATTCTTCAAGTGCCCTTCCTGACTCCACACTACATTAATCTAGATCATAGATGCTCTACTTTTTGCCCTAACTGCACATACTGTAAGAAATGATGCTCGGGGAAGGGAAAATACAGCATTATCCTAATCTATGTATGTCTTCAGATATTATTGTCCCTTTGAAGAATCTGGCTGTCTCAAGCACTAGCTACCCGTGGGATGTATCTAGAAAGCTGAAGAGAACCATAACGGTCATTTTCATAGTTGTTTACAAAGGTGTCATGTTTTCATTTTGGGGGGATGATCATAATAATTAGAGGGGAAGAATGAGCCATAGATAAATGCAGAATATTTAACATCGGTATAACATTACCTTCATTCTGTAAATTTTCTATAGCATTTATGTGAAATTATTCATTCTAGTCTTTCCACAATACATTTATTGCACTTCTGTCCAGTTTGGAATTTAACATGACAAAGTATTTGTTAGAATTTAAGATTTTCAGTGTTGAGGATTTGGCCCAGTGGCACAATGCCTGCAAGTGCAAGGTCCTGAGTTCAATCCCCGGTATCAAAAAATTTAAGATTTTCACTGACTGCACAGGCACACACTGTACTGCTGAGTGTGTAGCATAGGTGTCTAGTGAAATCAAGTGGTTGGAGAAAATGAATCTCTGGAAATCATCTGCATCTTCTAACTGGGAAGAAACGGACGGTATCTTGAAAGGAACGCTCATAACACGTGATCCTGTCATAAAGCAGTTTGTTATAGTTGGATGAATGCAGTGCCCTAGGCAAGAAGTTCATTATGCCAGACATTGATGCACTCAGGTTTTCATAATAGCAGAGCTGGTTAATGTCTTCCAGGAGTGAGTAGGACAGTTAATACATTCACGGCAGGGCAGTAATTTATATGCTTTGCTGCTGGGTGACTCTGATCCGAATCCAATTGTTCCCACCCATTTGAATCACCAGTGGTACATGCACGACTATCCCATCAGGCATCTGGTACCACTTCTCAGGGAGTCTTTGATTATAATTACACAAAGAAAGGTGTTGATTTAGCAAGCCAGATGTTACCATATATTACAGTTCCTTGAGGAAAACATTAAAATGGTATAAAAATTGTAATACAACTAATTTGTGGTATAGCAGTTGTAAATGCATATTATATACACCAGCAATGGGATACTTGTAAGATTTCCGTGTTCAAATTATTCATAAACTATTCACAAATATAAATTTATTCTAATTTAATGAAATAAATGTGTTGACTGCATTCATTTTAACTAGTAGGAACAGTATTAATATTTATATCTGGGCAATCATTAAAATTCAAACAATTAAGTAGATTCAGTCCATTTATAGACCTTTTTATAATTTTTTTAGTAAAAAGAGTGATAAAAGTGATTATATCCATTTGTACCCGTGGTACAAGCCACCCAATGGGATAGTCACATATGTACCACCAATGATTCAAACTAACAGGAGTGTGTTAATGGGCCCAGATATGAAAGTATTAGATACTGCCCACTTATGAATTATAAACAACAAATAGGAACTGCTGACTCTATTCAGTAACTTTTTTGGGGGGGTACTGGGGATCAAACTTGGGTCCTTGCACTTGCAAGGCAGGCCGCGGAATGACTGAGCTAAATCCCCAGCCCCTCTATTCAATATCTTAATGCAACTAATTAGATTTAGAGAACTGCTTAGGAAAATGTTGTGGGAAAGATGGTAAACTCATTTGTTCAGACAAAAGCCCTTGAACTGATTTTGTTGTACCTTAAAATTTAAAAAGCTATAAGCCAGGCATGGTGGCACACACCTCTGATCCCAGCACTTGGGAGGCGGAGGCAGGAGAACTGCCACAAGTTCGAGGCCAGCCTGGGCTGCATGGTGAGTTCGAATTCAAGGACACCCTGAACTACATAGACCTTGTCTCAAAAAAAAAAGAGACAGATGTAGTACAAATTCCCCATGATGAATGTGTTCATTATGTATGGTAAACGTACCAGTAAAAAATAATGAAAAATAAAAAAGAGCTATAACAGTTAAAAAATGTCTCACCCATTTTTCAAATGCTTATGCTTATACCCAGTGGGCAATGCAACATACTCTTCTAAGGATGTAGGCCTCACAAAGGCTTTCCAGTATTTCTGACTATCAAAAAATTGTTCTCAGCTAAGTGTAACACACACACCTATAGACCCAGGGCGATGACAGGCTGAGGCAGGAGGATCACAGGGTTAAGCCCAGTCTGTGCAATTTACCAATTAATGGAGAGCCAGTCTCAAAAACAAAGTGAGAGCATCGGTGATGTAGCTCAGTGGCACAGCCCCTGCCTGGCAAGTGCAAGGTCCTGAGTTCAATCCTCAGTACAGAGCCCGGGAGTGGGGGAGAGAGCACAATGATCTAGTATTTTCAAAATGAACAAAAATGACTGAAATTTTTTTGACATTTTTTATATTTATAGGATTTCTCCCCACAGTAAATTCTCATGTGTACTCAAAGCACTGTGTGATGAGATGGCTTTTCCATATACCTTACATTTCAAAAAATTTCACTCTATGAAGTGTGACGCAATGACGCAGAAAAGTAAGTGCTTAGCTCTACTTCATTCTTTTCACATGCAGTGTTTCTCTCCCAGAAATCGATCGGTTTGGAGTTTTTCTGTTTTATATTCTCAAATGTCACTTGACTAAGTGAAGCTCTTGCTATATTTTTCTCTTCAGTGAGTATTCCCATATACTCCAGTATAACTGGAACATCGAAGGCCTTCCAACCATATTTACATTCACAGCATTTCTCGATAGTGTGACCTTATATGGACCTTCAAAGAGTGGGAATAAGTGAAGGCCTTATTACACTGTTCACATTCATAGGGTTTCTCTCCACTGTGAATTCTTTCATGCACGTGGAGGGCACCAGAACAAGTGAAAGTCTTTCCACATTGTTGACACTCATAGGGCTTCTCTCCACTATGAGTTCTTTCATGGACTCGGAGAGAATTAGAGTAATTGAAGGCCTTTCCACACTGTTCACATTCATAGGGTTTCTCTCCACGGTGAGTTCTTTCATGAACATGAAGGTAACAGGAACTAGCAAAAGCCTTTCCACATTGTTGACATTCATAGGGTTTCTCTCCGCTGTGAGTTCTTTCATGGACTCGGAAAGAATTAGAAGAATGGAAAGCCTTTCCACACTGCCGACACTCATAGGGCTTCTCTCCACTGTGAATTCTTTCATGGACTCGGAGAGAATTAGAGTAATTGAAAGCCTTTCCACATTGTTGACATTCATAGGGTTTTTCTCCACTGTGAATTTTTTCATGTGCTCGTAGACCACTAGAATGAGTGAAAGCCTTTCCACATTGTTGACATTCATAGGGTTTCTCTCCACTATGAGTTCTTTCATGGAGGCGGAGGGAATGAGAATAATTAAAGGCCTTTCCACATTGTTCACATTTGTAGGGTTTTTCTCCACTGTGAATTCTTTCATGCATTCGCAGAACATTGGAACGAGTGAAGGTCTTTCCACACTGTTCGCACTCATAGGGTTTCTCTCCACTGTGAGTTCTTTCATGAACTTGAACTGAGCTTGAATTATTGAAGGCTCTATGACACATTTTACACTGATAGAGTTTCTCTCCACTATGCATTATTTCATGATCTTGAAGTGTATCAGAATCCCTGAATGCTTTACCACACCAATTACAGGTGTAAGGTTTTTCTGCGGTATGAATTCTTCCATGTACTTCACAGAAGCATGAAGTCCTGGAAGCCTTCCCACATTCTGTACACTTACAAGGTCGCTCTCTAGTGTCCACTGTCATGGGCCTCTGAAGCCCTGTAAGACAAACAAAGGAATTCCCACATTCCTGGCATTTGTGAAGTTTCTCTCCAGTGTAAGTATTTTTATGTAATGGAAAGACCCAAGGACATGTGATGTCTTTACCACATACTGTACATTTACAAAATTTTTCTGTAGCATGAGTGCTTTCATGATATTGCAGATTTACTGGGACACTGAAGGATTCACAACACTGTCTACCTTCGGAAGAACTCTCTCTAGAATGAGACTTTTCATGAGTTTTATACGATGAGTAATACAGGAAGGGTTTTCCGCAGTACTTACACTGGTAGAATTTCGTTCCAGTGTGTATGTTCATATGTACCTTAAATGTTTGGCGACCAAAAAAGACTTTCCCACATTCCTTACACTGATAGCTCTTTTCCCTAATATGACTTCTTTCATGCTTTTGAAAGGAACTGAGAAATGTGAAACCCCGGCCACACTGTTTGCATTCATAAGGTTTCTCTGCACTGTGAGTACTCTCATGGTTCCGAAGACACTGGTGATAAATGAATGCTTTACCACATTCCCTACATTCGTATGGCTTCTTTCTAAATTTCTGACTCTTGAATGGCCTGCAGCCAGGATGTGATCTGAAGTGCTTACTAAGGATTGCTGGATACATGACGACTTTTTCACATAAGCTGCCTTTACATGCTGCTCCGCAGCTTTGAGTTTCCTCGATGAGACACAGATTTGATATTCTGCTGTTTTCTTGACTCTGAGCACTAGTTTTATTTTCACACAGTTGCGTCACCATATAGCTTCTGTAAAGAACAAATAGCACATTTTCAATGGCATTTTAAATTTTTTCTTATTTTTAATAGGTATCAGAATCACCATTTAATCATTCTTGAAAAATGCTGGTTTTCTTCCCTGTCTAAACATTCTAAAATGTATCTACGGAGTGCCTCAGAGAAGTATTTGGCTATCATTATGAAAACACTAATATTTATATATAAGGTTTGACACTGTCTTTTGTTTTTCCCAGTATGAAGGACACAGAACACAGGACACTTGACTTAGCTACATTCTCAGGCCTTTTTACATATTTTAACTTTAGAGACAGGAGCTCATTAAGTCACTAAACTGCCTAGGCTAGGACAGAACATTTGACCCTTGGGCTTAGCCTCCAAAAGTGGTGGGACTGCAGATGTGTGCCAATAGAACCAGTGGACTATATTTCACATCTAGAACATCTATAAAATGGTTACATGTTTGTATGTGGGTGTGGGTATGTGTGTGTTACTGGATATTGAACCCAAAGCCTTTGAAATGAACTACATCCTCAGTCCTTTTTGTAAATTCTTATACAGGGTCCCACAAATTTTAATTACATCTTGGATATCCAGTTATTCAGGCTGGAATCAAACTTTCAATCCTCCTGCCTAAGCCTAGCAAGAAACTGAGATTACAGTCATATGTCACAACACCCAGCTCATCAGTATCTTGGGGGAAACATTTTTGACAAATCAATTAAAAGCTGGGCTTACTGCTGGGCACGGTGGCTCATGCCTGTAATCCTAGCACTTGGGAGGCTGAGGTAGAAGGATCACTTCAAGTTCAAGACCCGCGTGGGCTACATAGTGAGTTCCAGGTCAGTCTCAACTATACAGTGAGACCCTGTCTCAAAAAACCAAAAATAAAAAATTGGGCTTACTGTTTAGCTTGCTTATATTTGAAATGTCATAATATAGGAAAACGCCCCAGGAGGCCACTACATACTTTTATGAGTACAACTCACCTTAGATTTCTCCCCACATTTGGGTCATCATCTTCTATGTTCCAGTCTTTCCATTTTTTCCCTAAAATTCACACCCAGAAACAAGTCATAAATTTGGTATTACAGAAAATGTATGACACTGAAAGTACATGCTTTAATATGACTTGGCATGATTTAGTCACCAGAGTAGTACATTTTCCACCTTCAAAATCCTGGGACACATTTGATGCGTACGAAACACCTGTTCTGTAACTCATTAAGTGAAGGAATGACACTGTCCTTACCCACAGCAGTCAGGTTCCTGATGGTTTCCCGCATCACATCTCTGTAGAGTCTCTTCTGTGAAGGATCCAACAGAGCCCACTCTTCCAGGGTGAACTTCACAGCCACATCCTCAAAGTCCACTGAGTCCTAAGACATCCCACAAACAGTCATAGGAGGATGGTGAGACTGACAGCTTTGGGGATTATTCCTCAAGATGTTCCCACAACTTCTCTGGGGTATCCAAATATTAACTGCTGGCAGAATACCAAACCTGACTTTCTCACAAAATTCAGCAGTCACGAACACAGAAAAATTATTTTTATATTTTGTATGTTTTGTTTTTTGTTTGTTTGTTTGTTTTGCAGAACTGTCCTCTGAACCCAGGACCTTTGCACTAAGCTAGGCTATTTTATTTGGAGGCAGTTCTCACTAAGTCACAAGGTAGAGCTCAAACTTGAAATCATCCTTCCTCAGCCTTCCAAAGTGCTAGAATTATAGGCATGTGGCACCATTCCCAGTTGATTTCTGTATTTTTACCTCTACATATTTAACTGCTGTCTACTAGTAGCACCAAATTCACCTCAAAGCAATGTGATAAATGTGTTTCAAAGAAATGAAATTAAAAGCAACCAATTCATTATTAGACAAACTATTATTTTCAGGCCAGGTTTGGTGACACATGCCTGTTATCCCACTGTGAAAGACTGAGGCAAGAAGTTTACAACTTTGGTTTGTTTGTTTTGTTTTTTGGTACCAGGGATCAAGTTTTTTTTTTTTTTTTTTTTTTGAGATAGTCTCATTTTGTAGTCTGGGCTGGCCTGGAACTCATAGCAATTCTCCTGCCTCAACCTCCCAAGTGCTGACATTATAAGCATGCACCACCATGCCTGGCTAGAAAGTTCCCAATTCAGACCAACATAGCCAGATCTGGTCTCAAAACTTAAAAAATATATATTTTTAAAAGGGATGAAGATGTAGCTCAGTTCAATTAACAGTACTTGGAGAAAACTATCATTTTGTACCTTAATATACACAACATAGATTCACATTTTATGAAACACCGCCAAAGAAGAACATTGTTTTAATGCATAAATATACCTTTAAAATAATTCCCATCAAAAAACATCAGAGACCAAGATGCCAGGGATATTCAAGATGTAACAAGAAACTGGATTGCTCAGAGGTATTCCATGCCTTTACAAATACTCAGAGCCAGTCCTATTGGCTCATGCCAGTTGTCATAGTTAGTTGGTAGGCTGAGGCAGGAAAATTCAAAATTTGAGGCTAGCCTAGGTAAAATTAAGAGATCCATCCCAAAATAAAGAAGGCTGAGGATATAGGCTAATGGTAGATGCTTACACAGCATGTTCAGCAGGCCCTGGGTTCAATCCCTATATGATCATTGATTGTGATAAATCAAATGCATTAACAAACACATGGCAGATTAGTGGAGCACAGTTCTGGGTGTATATGTGGATGACTGACTTGTAGGCTAAGAACTGAGGAAGGAAGACACACCCTAGATGTGGGTGGCACTAACCAATGGGCTTACAGCCTGGACAGAATAAAAAGGCAAAGAAGAAGGAAGTCCTCCCTTTTGCTTCTTTGGAGGAGCTCTGTGTTTCAACGCCTTTGGAGGTTTGTCTCCAGTTGCCGCAGGCTTCCAGCACAGACGACTCAGTCTTCCAGTGCAGACCCTCCAGAATTCCAACATGGATTTGTGCAAGACTGCAGTGAACGCCAGGCCTTTAACCTTTATCTGGATGCTCCAGCTCTCCAGCATGCAGACAGCCATTTTGCATATTTTCACTCCTGATTACGCAGGAAGCCACTATAAGGCTGCTTAGCAAACCCTTTAAACATCATATATAATTTTTATATCAAATCCGTTCTTCTAGTGAACCTTGATATACCCTAGCACCACACACACACACACACACACACAAAACCTCAAATCTATCTAGCTATATAAAAACAGCCCTCTGCAGGGCTGGGAATTTAGTGCAGTGGCACTGCACCTTGCTCAGAAGCACAAGGTCCTGAGATTGATCCCTGGTACCAGGAAAAAAAACAAAAAAACAAAACAGCCCTCGCAATCTTCAGGTATAGCTCGTTTGGCTGGGAGGCCTGGGGTTCTACCCCGCTGACGTGGATCCACATCTCACCTTTATTCTCTTCTAGTCCTAGCACTGAACACAGCCCTGCATACTGCATACTAGAAAACTCTACACTGGACAACAGCCAGTCTTTTATTTTTAAATTTTATTTTCAGACAAAGTTGGGCTATACTGTACTGGCTGGGCTTAAACTTGTGAGCCTCCTCTCTAACCCTTATGAGTTTGGCAGGAATTACCATGGAATGATGTTTCCATGTCTTCCCATTATGTTATTAGGATTTCACTTTACTAACAGCAGAATACAATAAAAGATTGCATCATTTCTTTCTACATCTATCAGACTTTCAGTGCCTTTATAGAGCCACGTGTGATGGCCCACACCTATAATCACAGAAGTGCAGAACAGGAAGATGTCAAATTCAAGCCCAGTCTGGGCAACTTAAATTACACTGCAAGACCGTGTCTCAAAATTTAAAATTTTTAAACTTAAATTTAAGAAAGGCCAGGATGTAACCTAGTGAAGGACCCAGTACCACCGAAAAAAAAATAAGTTTTGTTTTTGTTGTTTTTATTTTTTTATTTTTTGGTACTGGGGATCGAACTCAGGACTTTGTGCTTGCAAGGCAAGTGGTGGAACCCCTGAACTAAATCTCCAACCCCCAAAGAAAAGTTTTATGGGTACCCACATGTCAAAGCAAAGAAAGCAGAAGTGTATCCTCTAATATTGTCAGTTACTATGAAAACTAACAACCTAAACCCAGAAGGATCATTCTAAATTCTCACGCAAAAGGCCTTGCGATTCTTCATTTCCTTTTTACAACTACATCATGTCCCAATATTTAACTAAAAGAAACTGAGACAAAGTATGATTTTTAAAGCCCACTTGAAGAAAAAAGATAAGCACTAGAACTACACTCAGATGTAGAAGAGATGCTAGAATCATCAGATTACAGAAATAAACAAAGCCTGAAGAGTTGAATATACTGAGGGATCTAACAGTAAAAAGTATGTAAGAACACATAAATAATTGCAAGCAGAGATGTGAAAATTCTAAAAATCGAAAAGAAATACATAATTGCAGTACTTTAGGAGGCTGAAGCAGAAAGGTCACAAGTTCAAATAGAATTAGTAACTCAGTGAGGAACTATCTCAAAATAAAAAATCTTTTAAAGGGATAGGGTTGTAGCTCAGTACAAACACCCTAGGTTCAGCTAGGCATGGCAGTTCATACGTATAATCCCAGCACCCAGGAGGCTCAGGCAGAAGGATTGCTGCAAGTTCAAGGCTACATAGTCAGTTCAAGCAGCTTTGAACTACATAGAAAGACGCGGTCTCAAAAAAAAAAAAAAAAAAAAAAAACCACAAAGCAAACAAACAAGAACAAAGAATAAAATATCCAAGAACAGAATAAAGTCAAAATAGAATACTATAATTCTTCGAATGCAGCAAAAGCAGTGACTACAGGGAACGTTATGCCACTGAACATTTACACTGGCAAAGGACAGGCATCTATACCGATAATCACAGTGTCTACATTAGAAAACAAAAAGCAGAGCCAGGCACAATGGTGCTTACTTGTCATCTAAGCATTTTGGGAGGCTGAGATAAGAGGATCACAAGTTCAAGCCAAGCCTGGGCAACTCAGAAAACTTAAAATTTAAAACTTTAAGGGGGGTATAAGAAAGAAGAGAATGGAATTCATATGAGAAAAAGAAAAAATGGAAACAAAGTCTTTGTAGATAGGGAGGGGTGGAAGGGTTGAAGGGAGGGCAGGGGAATGGGGAAAAAATAAGAACCAAGATGGATTATGCAAAGGCGCAAATTCCCAGTGATGAATGTCACTACACTGTAAACCTTAAATGTACCAATAAAATTAATTTTTTTTAATTTAAAACTTTAAAAAGAGCTGAAAATGTAGATCAGCCAAAGGCCCTGGGTTTGATCCCAGGAAGGAAGTGAGGGAAAAGGAGAGAAAACACCCAGTAGTGGAGATGCCTACCTGTAATTCCAGCACTCTGTGAGGCTGAGGCAGAAGAATCACAAGTTCAATTCCCACCTGAGTAAATTTGGGAGACCCTGTCTCAAAATAAAAAGAGATGAGGATATACCTCTAGTACAAATAACCTGGGTTAAATCCCAGTGAGGGTGTAGAGGGGAACAGGAGCCAGTTAAACACAGAGTATACATAAAAGGGAAGGAATCAAATTGAGGGAAATAAATTTGGACAACAAAAATCAAATGCTAGTCTCATTTTAAAAAAAAACAAAAAACAATTTGCCAGATGTGAAGTTACCTGAAAGAATAAAAAAATAGAAAGGCAACGGCGATGGCATGAGCTTGTTCTCCTGGTTGTTTGGGAGGTTCAGTAGGGAGAATTACTTGATTCCAGGGGTTCAAGGTACAAAAACTGGGAAATTTAGAGAGAGAAAGCCTCAAAGAAAAAAGTGACATGATACAAATTATGTCAGAAAGGTGGTAGATTCCTTTAATCACAGCACTCTGGGAAGCAGAGGCAGGAGGACAACAGTCCGGACAGCTTAATGACTTAAGAAGATCCAATCTCAAATTAAAACAAAATGGGCTGATGAAAAAGATCAATGTGAAGGCACAGAGTACAATTCCCAGTACCAATAAATAATTAAGATACAAATTAAAGAGGGCTTGTTCAAAGAAGCCTTGAAGTCTGTCCTCAGCATCACAGAAAGGAGGTTTTACAGTGCTAGGTACACCTGAACACAGGACTTCCTCACATTAAACAAGCAATCTAACAGTAAATTACCATGCTTGTGTGTGTGTATTGTGTGTGTGTGTGTGTTTGTGTGTGTGTGCCTGTATGTGTATTTTACTGGTGACTGACAACACACTGCCTTCCCACTGCCTATCCTCAGCCCTTTTTTTATGTTTTACATTGAGACAGAGTCTCACTAAATCACTAGATTGTCCAAGCTGGGCTCAAACTCATGTTCCTCCTGCCTCAGCCTCCCAGAATACAGGGACTATAGGTATGTCACACCATGTGAGGATTTTGTGGGGTTCATTTTTGTAGGATTTGGGGGGGATAAGGACTCACTGTATATATAGTCCAACCAGGCCTCGATCTTGCTCTGAAGTCCAGGCTGGACCTCCCTCAACATGCACTCTTCCTGCCTCATCCTCCCAGAGTACAGGAAGTATAGATGTGCACCATGTCCAGGTTATGTGTGTTGTGTTGTGTTGTGTTGTGTTGTGTTGTGTTTTTAAGATACATCCTGGCTATACATGTACTCTAGGGTAGCATCAAACTTGCTCTGAAACCCAAAACAAGCTCAAACATGCAATCCTCCTGCTGAGGCCTCCCAAGCGCAGAGATTACAGGCATGTACCATCCTCACCTTCCTCATTCTGATATAATAAAATAAGAGGTAGCTCAAGAATTATCTGGCCAGGCATGCTGAGACAGGAGGATTTGCATGTTCAAGCCCAGAGTGGGCAACCTAGTGAATGAGCCAGTCTCTGTCTCAAAATAAAAATCAGGGGCTGGGAGTGTAGCTCAGTGTGAAGGCACTGAGTTAAATAAATCCCCACTCCAGGGGCTGGGGATTTAGCTCAGGGGCAAAGCACGTGCCTGGCAAGTGCAAGGTCCTGAGTCTGAGCCCCGATATCAAAAAAATCCCCACTCCAAAAATAAGGGGGGTTGGGGACTTAGCTCAGTGGTTCCACCGCATGCCTCGCAAACACAGAGTCCTGAGTTCCATCCACGGTACAAAAATAAAAATAAAAATAAGAGGGGAGGGGAGGGAGAAATTAATTGTCTGAAGTGCCCTGGAATGGACCAAGGTATTTTGCTGACAATGAGTCTGCTGAAGTCAGTCTGCTCTGCTTTGCATATTTTGAAAGTTTTGCCTGCATTATTTATGTAAAATAGATATCTACCAAAAGCACTCTGCTTTTGGTAACACTCCTGATGAACTTACTTTTGCTGTTACATTCAACTTTTCTGTAGAGAAAACTGTTCTAAGATTTTACTCTTTTAAACACTAAGAGTTATGAACTACAGAAAATAAAATGACAGCGGTACCAAGTATCTTCCTGACTAACATAACAAAGACTCCATAATGAGTGTAATCACTGTGTACTGCAAACATATACTAAAATAAACATTTCAGGGCTGGGGATTTAGCTCAGTGGTTCCAGCGCCTGCCTCACAAGTGCAAGGACCCGAGTTCGATCCCTGGTACCAAAAAATAAAATAAAATAATAAACATTTTAAATAAAATAAACTTTACCTTAAAATTAAAAATAAAACCACAAAAGTACCATTATTTTCCTTCCACTACATCTAACACTGGGGGGCATTATCATGAACTGGTAATGAAGTGGCACTTGGAGGGCGGGCAGACCAAGGAAGAGAGCGGCACTCAGAGAATTGAAAGGAAAGGCAGGTTTACTCACTAGCTAGTGGGCCCAGTGGAAGTCACCTTCCAGAGTCTGAGCCTCATTTCTCTGTCTGTTCTCACATTTATCTGTTCTTTAGCCAGGGCCAGTGAGCAAGAGAATTTTACAGAAGCAGAACTTAGCAAAGGGTAGGGGGTGAAGATGATGTGCTTTTACAGTTTATTTTTAAGACACAGGGAGGTAGGCAGCAGCGTTTCAGCAGTTCATCTTCTGGGCACAGTGACCTTCATGGGTTTAGCAGGAGGGGCAAACCTTAGACTGGAGACTGTCAGTCTCTGTCAAGCTTTGACACGGTCAGATTCTGCTCTGTCTTTTGGTGTTTTGCTTTTTGTGGGGTTTTTTTTTTTCCCATTACAGTAGCATACTACACATTAGGGTTTAAGAATCAACCCCTTTAAAATATCATAATGTTCAAAGATGTACAGTTAAGTTTGGTAGCTTTCATATCTTCTTCTTCATGTTTGGCGTAGTGGTTCATGCTATATCAGCACCCTGCAAAGCTGAGGGGCAGAAGGATTACAAATTCCAGGCCAGCTTTGGCAATTTAGAGACTTAGGAAGGGCCTGTCCCGAAATATAAAATAAAAAGAAAACTGGAAAGCTTAGTGTGAAAGCCCTGGGCTCAATATGGGCGGGGGGGGGTGTCATTGTTGCACAGAGCTTGCCTAGGACGTGGAAGGCCCTGGGTTCAATCCCTGGCGCAAAACAAAAGCAAAAAGAAAACAGAAAATGCATCAAGTGAACGTGAGATCTTAAACACTACGATCTCATCTTGAGGTTCTACCCTTAAAAGAACAAAATTTCTACTTGTTTCAGAATTTTCACGTTTTATGGCATCTAATCTTGTAATCGATTCTTCTCTCTCCCCCCACCCAAGAAACTGAAAATAGCACGCAATGACGGAGGAGAATAATAGTGCCAAGTGCTAAGGAAAATTAAAATAAAGGCTGGGCATATTTCAGAACGAAATCAAAAGGCAAACTCCCGACGTGCCCCAAGGTTAGATGCG